TTGCACCCTCTTTTTTTTTGTTAATGCTGAAATCTGTAATCTTTGGATAGTTCAGCAATTTCATTACACTTTTAATAAATGACCCTCCCTCACCCCCCAATACAGCACTTATTTGCATAAACAACATACATTTCTGAGGAGTAACCCTTTTTCCTACTTCTGGCATCATATGGAACTAGAGCACCTAATGTACTGTCTCCCACTAGCTGGCAATTTAGCCCCTGCAGGGTCCCCACATGACGAAATTATCCTTAAACAGGAATATTATCAACTGAATCTAAATCCTTAAGATTACCTTTATCACTACATCCATTAATACAAACTCCCTGCTGTCTCACAAACACCTTTATCCATGGCCTGTTCAATCAATGCTGTCTTCTTGCTTCTCTCATTCCCCTTTCTTATCACAAGAACTACAACACTATTAAGTGATTACAAGCCAAATACTATCTTCTTTGACCTAGCTGGAGGAGAAGCTAATATTCTATATCAAAACCTACATTAATTCTTCCGCTATCCAGAAGTTCAGTCTTACTCTGATTTGGCATCATCTCCCATACCATAACCTACAATGTAGGTTAAATAAAAAAAAGCAGCCCTTGAATTTATGGGAACAGTCCAAGCTATAATTTCTGCTGGAAATTCCTAGCCTCCATTCAGACATTTACCATTGGTATCGATATAAATACACAGCTTGCTTTACGTTAGCTACTATGTATATCATTTTTCATACTACCATAAAAGTTTTTAGAAAATTTCATTACACCACCACAAAGTGCAGGTAATGACAGAACTTCTAGTGTTTCAGTTTGTGCCTATTGCCTCTCATCCTGTCGCTGGGCACCACTGAGAAGAGTCTGGCCCCATCCTCCTTACACCCTCCTTTCAGATATTTGTACACATTGATGAGATCACCTCTCAGTCTTCTCTTCTCCAGGCTCAACAGGCCCAGCTCTCGCAGCCTTTCCTTACAGGAAAGATGCTCCAGTCCTTTCCTCATTTTAGAGGCCCTCCGCTGGACTCACTCCAGGAGCTGCATGTTCCTCCTGAACTGGGGAGCCCAGAATTGGACACAGCACTCCAGGTGTGACCTCCCCAGGGCTGAGGAGAGGGGCAGGATCACCTCCCTCCACCTGCTGGCAACTCTCTGCCTAAGGCACCCCAGGAGGCCTTTGGCCTTCTTGGCCACAAGGGCACGTTGCTGGCTCAGAGTCAACTTCTTCTCCACCAGAACCCCCCCAGGTCCTTCTCTGCAGAGCTGCTTTCCAGCAGGTCAACCCCCAGCCTGTACTGCTGCGTGGGGTTCTTCCTCCCTAGGTGCAGGACCCTGCACTTGCCTCTGTTGAGCTTCATGAGGTTCCTCTCTGCCCCATCTCTCCAGCCTGTCCAGGTCCCTCGGAGCAGTAGCACAGCCCTCTGGCGTATCAGCCACTTCTCCTAGTTTTTGTATTATCAGCAAACTTGCTGAGGGTACACTCTGTCCTTTCATCCAGGTCACTGATGAATAAGTTGAAACTGGGGGACAGTGCTAGCTACACACCTCCAACCAGACTTCATGCCATTGATCACAATCCTCTGAGCTTGGCCATCCAGCCAGTTTTCAATCCACCTCACTGTCTGCTCATCCAGCCCGCACTTCCTGAGCTTGCCTGTGAGGATATTATGGAAAACAGTGTCAAAAGCTCTACTAAAGTCGAGGTAGACAACATCCACTGTTCTCCCCTCATCTACTCAGCCAGTCATTCCATCAGAGAAGGCTGGCTATCAGGTTGGTTAAGCATGATTTCCCCTCTGAGAATCCATTCTAGCTACCCTTCTTGTCCTTCATTTGCCTGGATATGTTTTCCAAGATTAGTTGCTCCATGAGAGCAAAACAAAGTCATAGATGACACTATGTTCCTAGCAGAAAACCAATACTATCCATCCATAATTGTGGCACTCGGAGCTATCATCATAACGACCTTCGCAAGTTTGCAAAAAACTGACTGAAAGTCACCAGTGTCTTAGCCACCAAGTCACAGTCTCCAGCTCTAATCCAGTTGACAGTGATTGCAAGGCCAGTGTCTAATAGCTGTGAAAAATAACAGCTAGTGGGGAGGTCCCTAATAACACAAAATTGTGTTTAAAAAAAAAAATTGCTTTTTTCAACACACATCCAACTTAAACTAGTAACAGTGAGAATGTTCCAAGAGCACTGAGGATCAGCACAACCTGTCCAGCACCCTGGTTTCAGCTTTCCAGAGAAACACAGTGTGGGGTGGGGGCAGTGACAGACATACCAGAAACATAGTCATGGATCAAAAGAAAGTAGAGCAAAAAAGAAGACAATCCTTTCAAGCCCCTGGAGCATGGGAAAACAAACTAAAATAAATAAACAAGCAAAATCAACAAAAGGAGTCTTCATTCTTCTTCAAAGCCATCTGAGAGTTCCATATTGAAACATATTGGGAGATTCATTTCCCAATTCAAAAACAAAGTCACTCCTACCTTGTCACATGGCCCCTTCCATAAAAAAGTTTAAACACATACTTTATTTGAAGAATTGTTTAATAACCATACTCCTTTGATAGCCTGAAACTTCCTCCTAATTCCTGAGCTCCTAATTTCTTTTAATTCTGGATCTTAGTCTACTTGCCAGTAATTAAATATCCACTTGATTTTGCAGCTTTTTGGCCACTGTCCTGCTGCACAACAACAGCAAATTAAGTAACCATTTCTGAGTGACGCTAGCAGGTAAACTGCATAAATTTAGAAAAGCCAAAGATATTTGGTTAAAGTACATTCATTTCTAACAATTTTGGGAATTGTTGTGAACTGATTTAAATAACAAGACAATGAGATATCATCAATAATCATAACACATACACTTTGAGTAGCAACATAATCTAAAAAGGTGACCTTTTCTGGTCACTAAACACATGCAACGTATTCATAGTGATAAGACACTGTGTCCATATCACTAATCACCTGTTGTGTGACCTTAGCTGAACCAGGCTGTTCTTCTTCCTCATTCTGCCTGTCTCATCTAGTCAGGCTTAGAATATCCAGTTGATGACTTGCATGAAAATTCAAACTTAGACACTGAATGCTTTTCCACATCTCCTAGCATGGCTTCATCCGGGGCAGGCACAACTAGGCAGCCCCATTAGGCTTCCTGTGCCAAGAGAACCACATCAAGCTAAAGCATGCTCCTTTGCAGTAGCACAGAGACATCACTTCGCCTCTAACCTTCCTTTGTAGAATGATCTCCTAGGACATGTACACTTAAACACATAGCTCCACTAGATAAGAAATAAGTGATTACTCTGCACTCTTCACTCCAGACTACCAACTGGCCTGCAAATTCAAAAGGATTTAAATGATATATATGTAGGGTCAGAGACTGTACTAGGAAAAAATGGCCCTCATTTCAGGGTTTTGGGGAAAAGTGGTTACAAGTCCAGTGACTGGGATAATAAGCAGGAATTCAGAAAATCCTCATTTGTCCCCATAACTCTGCAAAAACACCCAAAAAAAAGCCAGAAACAAATTATGCTTACATTAGTTTCTCACAGATGTTTAAGTTGGCTGCTCAGCGTTCAAGTATCCTTCCACAGGAGATTTAGGCTTTATAATTATATCACAGTGTGTATATGCATGACCAAAACCCACCACCTATGATGGGTGTTTAAACTAAGGCTGCAGGAGAACCCTGGCCGCAAGGCACCAGCTCCGCTGCCCTCTCACAGAAGGGAGCGCCCCTCCTAAAGGTCACCCACCCAGGTGGCTCTTCCTCTGCCCTATTGCGTTCCCTTCCCCACACTCGTGTTTCTTTCAGCCCCCAGGGAACCAGAAAACCAGGACCCTGACAGGGCCGAGGCACCCACTGGCACTAAATGCAGAGTGACCCAGGGGCCAGGGGCAGCCTCCA